AGGAGACAGGGGGCTCACAGAGTGGGCTCATTCTGTGCCTTGCTGTGAAACTAGGACTTCATTGGACAGCAGAGGAGCCCAGAAAAGATTTTAAATAGGGACACGTGACCAGTTGCATTCCAGGAAAATTATTTGTTTACATTTATACTTTGTCTCATTCACTCAGCCTATGTGTTTAGAAAGGTTACTGTGTACCAGGCACTGTGCTAAACACTGGGGTGCAGCAGTGACTAAAGAGACCAAATTCCTTCAAGAGCTAAAGATCAGTGAGGGAGACCAGGGACAAATAAGGAAACACACAAAGTGGACCATGATTACACACACAGGGTACGTTTATAGAGGATGGTGACTTGTTACAGAAGGAGGATGGAAAACTGGTTGGGTGGCCAGGAAGACCCTTCTGAGGGAATGATGTTTCAGCCAAGACAAAAGATGAGAAGGAGCTAGCCAGCCATGGGGAGGAGGGAGAGGAACACTTACACAACATCCTAGGCTAAGAAAATAGCGTGGAATTGGAGGAGCTCATGGGTCTCCAACTATGCTAATCTGGACACGGAGTATTGAGGGCTTGAGGAAGGGAAGGCAGTGGCAGTGGGAGCCGAAAGGATGAGCAAAGCATAGGGGAGAGTTGACGGTCATGCTGAGGCTTGGAGCCAGACTGAATGGGCAAATGCGTGATGCCGAGTAAAGAAGCTGGGGAGCAGGGCCAGATGTGGGAAAAGGTGTTGGGTTTGGTTTGGGTCATGCTGAGTCTGTGGCCCTGGTAGGCTGTAAAAACAGCTGGAGGGTTGAGAGGAGATGGTCAAAGAGGAGAGGACCTGGAGGAAGTCCTTGATGCCATAGCTTTCTCCCTTCCTCTTTTTCCTTGTCAAAGGTTCTTGACTTCCCAGATTGCCTCCTTCCCCTTTGGGAGCTGAGAAGGTGGGGCAGGGGTGATAGCTACAGTTCTGCTCCTTTGGGTCCGCCTGGATCTCTGTTGCTCCTTGGGAGCACATAGCTTGCTGGTCCTGGCTTCTTAGCCTCCCTCTTACGTGTCTCAGCAGCCACTGAGACATATGTGCTGCCCTGGCGTCTCTTCCCAGCTCCCATATTCCCTTGACACCTTGGGTGGGTTATGGGCATGTAGGGATGCTACAGAGTGTCAGAGGGGCACTGACTCTCTGATGCTGTCACCCAAGGTGAATGTTGGAGACACAGTCGCGATGCTGCCCAAGTCCCGGAGAGCCCTAACTATCCAGGAGATTGCTGCGCTGGCCAGATCTTCCCTGCATGGTACGCACCCCCTTCCCATACCTTTGGCCACTCTGTCCTTCCTTCTTCCTTTTGCACATACACGTTGGGGACTGTATCCTGTGAGCTCTTGCTGGGATCTCCCTTTTCTTCCCCTTCTCAGATGAATCCCAGCTTCCTCCTCCCATCCACAGGCACATGTGGACCCAAACTACCACCACCCTTCCACTCCCCTCTCAGATGCTCCCTGGCCTGTGCCCTAACCAGGCCTCCCTCTGCCCCACCTGCAGGTATTTCCCAGGTGGTAAAGGACCACGTGACCAAGCCCACCGCTATGGCCCAGGGCCGAGTGGCTCACCTCATTGAATGGAAGGGCTGGAGCAAGCCAAGCGACTCACCTGCTGCCCTGGAATCAGCCTTTTCCTCCTATTCGGACCTCAGCGAGGGTGAACAAGAGGCTCGCTTTGCAGCAGGTGGGGACAGGAAGGGGTCAGCCACACATTTGTCATAGGGTTGCTCCCATTGCCTCACACCTGATGTGGAGGTTGGAGTCTTTCCATACCCCTCTCTCTTTCCTCTCCTGTCTCCAAGCTGAGCCCTAATCTTAATTCTTCCTCTAATGTATTCTGCTAACGAACCTTCTCCGCTAACGAATTCCGTGTCCTCCCCGACAGGAGTGGCCGAGCAGTTTGCCATTGCAGAAGCCAAGCTCCGGGCATGGTCTTCGGTGGATGGTGAGGATTCCACCGATGAATCCTATGATGAAGACTACCCTGGAGGAACTGACTCAGGTGAGGGGCAGTCCATGCTCGTGCCCCTAGCTGGGGTGGGACTGAATGAGAGGCCTTGTGACTCAGAGGCTTTTGGAAGGGGTGGGGTGCAGACCCTGTCCAGGCAGTCCTTGACATTTCCAGGGGCAAGAGGGCTGTCCAGGCTCATGGGGGCGCAGTCAGCACCTGGAAATGGAGTAGTTCCTTTCCCATAGGTGCGGAGCCTTCTCTGCCTGTGCCGTTGGGCCTTGTAGTCCAGAGACCTCACCGATACCTTCTGTGCAACTGTGTCTCTGGGAGGGTCTGCTGTGCCTCACCTTTCCCTCTCAGGGCAGCCTTCTGGCCAGCTGTGGCAGCACAGATGAGCCACGGCAGCATAGCACCTCACAGGGCCATGGCCCCAGACAAACAGGAAGGCGTGCTGGGCCTGGACCGCCCACAGGGCCGTGCTGGCTCATGCTCAGCATCCTCAAATTCCATCTGAGACCTGCCTGTCGGCCTTTCTCTGGGCCAGTGCTTCCAGAGGGGACCCTGCGGGGCTGTGCAGCTGTGCACAGCCCTCCTTTCATCTTCCAATCCCCAGACCACATGGCTGACTTTCTCTGTAGCTTCTAGGCTCATGCCTCACAACACTCCCCCACCCCTACTTCTTTGCCTTTGAAGATTGCCTCCACCAGCCCCCACCCCTCCAGCTAATTAACAGATTCTCCAAGAGCAATACATTCGAGCAGACTAGCAATACATTAGAGTTATGCTGTGGTCCAGAGGTGACTGATTTGGTTGCCTGAGGCCAAGATGGAGCCCGAAACCATAAATGCTCTCGTTTGATTGAGTTGCAGGCCTGCTTTTTGATCCTTGGTGTAATGATAATAACATTTATCCGAGGCCACCACAACCCCACGTAGAAGCTTCGTGCAAATTCAAAAAAGCACCCCTCTCTCTGGTGGGCACGGTCCCATGCTAGGGCATGCTGCTTGATGAGCAGAGGGTGGGCTGAACTTCCGTCCACACTCACTGCCTTGGATAGGCTCCCCTCGTGCAATGGACCACTGGCACAACCATGTGTGGTATCCCTGCATTTATTACTTTCTTACTTTGTGCTACATTCTTTTGTTCTCTCAGCAACCCCATAAGTAGGTATATTAGACTCTCCAATTTGCCATTAAGGAAACTGAGGCACCAAGAGGTTAAGTGACTTGCGCAGTTACCCAGCTCCTACCCACTCTCCCCAGAGCTAGGGGTGCCAAGGGTGGAGTGGGGAGAATGTGGCTTCCAGGTTGGTCAATTGACATGGGGCTAGTAGGGCTTAATTCTTTTTTCTCCCCCTGCAGATATGGCTGGGCAGCTGCCCCTGGGGCCCCACCTCCAGGACCTCTTCACTGGCCACCGATTCTCCAGGCCTATGCGCCAGGGCTCTGTGGAGCCTGAGAGCGACTGCTCGCAGACCGTGTCCCCAGAGACCCTGTGCTCTAGTCTGTGCAGCCTGGAGGATGGGTTGCTGGGCTCCCCAGCCCGCCTGGCCTCCCAGCTGCTGGGTGACGAGCTGCTCCTCGCCAAACTGCCCCCCAGCCGGGAAAGTGCCTTCCGTAGCCTGGGCCCATTGGAGGCCCAGGACTCGCTCTACAACTCGCCCCTCATGGAGTCCTGCCTTTCCCCCGCCGAGGAGGAGCCAGCCCCCTGCAAGGACTGCCAGCCTCTCTGCCCGCCACCAGTGGGCAGCTGGGAACGGCAGCGGCAAGCCTCTGATGTAGCTTCTTCTGGGGTGGTGTCCTTAGACGCGGATGAGGCAGAGCCAGAGGAACAGTGACCCAAATCATGCCTGGTGGTGGCATGCGTCCCCTGGCTGCTGCTGGGGGCAGAGCCTCTGTGCCCAAGTGCGGGCTGGAGGCCTCCAGCAGAGCTCCAAAGCCTAGAGGGCTCCTGGGAGCACTCACTCCTCCGTTGTGTGTTTTGCATGAAAGTGTTTGGAGAGGAGGCAGGGGCCAGGCTGGGGGCGCATGTCCTGCCCCCACTCCTGGGGTTTGCCGGGGGTTGCCCGGGGCCCCTGGGGCATGGCTACAGCTGTGGCAGACAGTGATGTTCATGTTCTTAAATCAAAAATGCCACATACACATTTCCTCCTTGGATGATGTGAACCCCTAAGGGGGTGGTTGTGACTGGGCCCTGTGGGGTGGAACGGGAGGGAGCCCGGCCCCCTCTCCCCCTTCCCCGTGCCTCTCTCTTTGCTTCTCTCCACCTCTGAGTCCATGTGCAGTGCTTGACAGACTCCTCCCCCATCCCAGGGCGGGCTGGCTCTTACCCTCCTGGAGCCTAGGATTGAGCCGTTTCCCCCAAGGGCCCCTCGCCCAGCTGGGCTCGTGCTGTGCTTTGCCTCTCCATCATCTCTAAATCTTCTTCTATTTCCTAAAGAGGGGTTTTGGTCTGTTCTTTCAGTCGGATATTCTCTGGGAGGCACTGGATTGATAAAGGCATGTACCCTCTGCCCTTTTCCTGGCCCCTTGTAGGATGTGTGGGCAGGATCCCAGCGGCTCACAGCCTGCCTGGCTGCCCTATTCACCGAGTTCTTGTCAGAGTGGAGTTGGGAGAAGGGATGGCTCCACTTGCTACGGAGCTGTGACTTCAATGTTCTTCCAGAGAGGGCCACAAGGGGGCCACGTGGGTGGCTGGGCAGTTGTCTGTGGGGGCCTGAGCCAGGCAGGAATTGTGCCAACAAGTGACAGTCATGTGGGAGTGTCTCTCCTTGGGGAGGGAGGAGGGTAGTGCCTTTCTTGGCTGAATGAAAGGCCAAAGCTATAGCACTGCGGGCCTCTGCCCCAGCTAGCGTGTTGATAACTAAGCAGTGGAGGCCTCTGTGGATCCTGTGTTCCACAGACCGTGAGCTCTGGAGTTTTATGGCTGTGGGGGGTTTGGGTGGCTGCAGAATTCCGAGCCTTGTAGGCTTTGGCAGGTAGGAGGGCCCAAGGTAAGAACAAGAGCTGATGGGCACAGGCATTCTATATATAAGTGGCTCATTAGGTGTTTATTTTGTTCTATTTAAGAATTTGTTTTATTAAATTAATATAAAAATCTTTGTAAATCTCTATATACATCTGGTCATTGGAGGTTCCAGTATAAACCCATCTTAGTTCTACCCGTTTCCCCCTCAAAGGGGGAGCAGGGGTCAATTGACTCCACCCCTGTCCTGCCAGGGGGATGCTGATCTTCCTGCCCATGGAACACTTGCTACAGGTGGGCACTGGGTCAGATTCCAGGTAGGATGAACCAGGAGGAGCTTGGCACCCCAGGACTGGAAGGGAGGCTAGGGCTCCAGCCTTTAGTGCAGGCGCCTCCTTTCCCAAGGCAGACGGGACAGGAGAGCTTCACGGTCTAGACCAACAGCCACAGCCACTGCCATCCTAGGCCACCCACTGAGGGGGTTCATTGGCACTTGTCATCGCTGTCAGAAGGGCTCCCCTCCCGGGGGAGGCCATGATGGGAGCGGGGCCCCCAGAGTGCATGCACCTCTGTGGTCTCTGTGTCACTGCTGCTGGTGGCACTGTCACGGAAGCTGGCCAGGGGCGGCCGGACTTTGACGCCCTGTGCTGTGACAGAGCCCTCGATAGCCTTCCGGAGCTAGAAAGGGTAGAGGGTCAGATGTGTGGACTCTGAGCTCCCTGCTCAGACTCCACCCCAACACTTACCCCAGGTGAACTGGACACAAACAAGCCTGCATGCCTGTTTGGAAGCGGAAATGGTTTGATGGCCATTATCATCTCACCTCCTTTAGGGTGACGATCCCAATGAGTCGGCCAATACTGGTGACATAAGCATGGTCCACTCCCAGTAGTGAGAAGATGGTGTGAGTCTGCAGGGTGGGGAGAAAATACACTGGACATCATGTACACCATCTACAGGCCAGAGGGCCCCAGGACAAGGCCGGGGTGGGGAATAGGAGTGGTGCCATACATAGATGGGGGGTGGGGAAGGGAGGGCCACCAGAGGGAAAAGAATAATGAGGACATTTCTGCAGCCAGGCCTCAGAAACTTGAGAGAGGGAATCTTTAGGTTGCTTATTTGGTGGAGAAACAGAGGAAGGATTCTTCATCCCATGTTAGAAAGAGGATGATGGAGGACAGAACAACTGTTCAAATGTGACATGTAATGATTGGCCATGCACTGAGCGAGATCTTTCTGAAATTAGTAACTTCAGTACTGTTCTGAGATACCCACTCTACAGGAGAGGCAGTATGAGGCTCAGTGGTGAAGTGACTTTGCAGCTCCAGAAGGAGTTTTCATCCCTCTATAGAAGGATAGTTTTCATCCCTCTACAGCCCCGCTCCTGTGCAGATGTCCAATCAGTCACAGAGGTATCTGGCAGGGAGGTTCCATATCCTTTAGGGGTACTGGCCCTGAATTTTGTGCCTCTCACCCCACTTTAGTAGCTGACACATGCTTCCCATTTGCCTCCAGCAGGCTGGCAGTTAAAATGTCCTTTACCGTGGCTCTGACATTTCAATCATGGCCTGAAGCACTCTACGTCTCGCATACAGTTTGCCTTTTCTGGGGCCCAAGTAGCATCCCAGGTGCTGTTGAGATGTAGCTTGAAGTCCAGGGAAACAACAGTCAACCACAAACTCCCATGTCTTTCTGGCTTTGGACTCTCCCCCCAACTTTCAAATGTAATCACCAAGGGCTCAGGAATTGTCAACCAGTTCTCCTTGTGTTCTAAGTAGATTTTCTTGGGCCAGATGTCTTGAAAAACACTACTGACACAGCAGTTCCTGGAATTTTTGGCCTATCACTTATCACAGTGTTTTCAGTTTACTTGTAAAGTCTCTTGGCTTAATGTTTGAATCAAAATGGGCATTAATAACCTAGCTTTTTGAATACTAGTCACTCAGAACTCATTATAGCCATCTGAAAGCTTCAAAAATATTTTCTTATACAGTTGCTAAATCATTAGAGGGCTTCCAGAGCTTTCCCAACTCTCCATTTAAGGCATGACAGTACTTATAAAGCAGTTAGAAGTTCAGTTTTAGAATAAGCTTCTCTACGTTCCTTCAGTACCTTTATCATAACTTGTTGGGGTTACCAAGTTCTTCCTCATATCTAACTTGAATCCTACATGCTACATGTTACCTTTTAGTTTCCTCATCTGACTTCAAAGGGAAACCTATATTATCAGATTTTCTGTTTTAATAATCCACTAGCTTTGTCTTCTTATGGTTTAATAATCCCTTTATCTTCTCCCAAGGATCCTATTAAATTGTTCCCCTGGATTTTCTTTTTCTCCACAATCTTAATTAGAATGAGCTTCTGGTGGACTCTATGCCTTTTAGGTTTGCAAACCACTGGTCCCGGGCAGTCACCAAGCCTTGCTGATCTGCTTCCTGAACATCTTGGCCATGCTGATTCCCTCACTATCCTTACCAGGACCAGGCCACAACATCCTCATGGGTTCTGCTTTTGGTCTCCCTTCCCTTCAGCATGGCTCTGCCATCCTATGAGCTTTCTCAAACTTGAGTTAGAGCCCATACTCCCCAGAATAGCCCACAAGACTCTGCCTAAGGCCATCCCAGCTGGTCTCAGATTCTGCTAGACACTCTAGCTTCCAGCCTCACATAATCACTCATCTTCTTCTGAAAACACCAATTTCTTGGATACTTCAACCCTTCCCTCAAGTCCCCCGCTGTCTGCCTCTGAGTATAAGCAGTAGTAGAAGTCATTCCTCACATATATTGATCTCTTACTATGGCCAGGCACTGTTCTAAGTATCCCATATCAAGTCCTTTATCCAAAGAAAAACCTATGATGTAGGTACTCTGAGCCCCATTCTACCCATAAGGAAAGCAAAGCACAGAGAGGCTAAGAAATTTGCCAAGGCTACACAGCTAGCTAACACATGGCAGGCTGAGGATTTAGGTAAAGCCGGGCTGGCTTAGCTTTGGCATCCTAGCCTCCCCTGCCCCTGCTTGTCTGCAGGTGGCTTCAGAATGAATGTGGCAAGTAGCTGGTATGGCTGGCAAGCTCTAGTCTCATAGGTCCCTAAATAGTCTCCAGTGGATTCCCTCTCCCCGTGAATGTTCCCCTCCTGAACTTGACTGGGCTACTACTAATTGATTCTTCAGGCCTACAAGGCCATTTTGAATTCTCATCTTTTATGTTCTTATCACTTCTAGTTCTTTGTACTTTTGTTAGTCGGTTTCTCAAAGGCTTCTTCTCTTCCTCTGATTTTTAAGTTTGTAACAAACACCTACTTTGTTTTTTTCATTTTAATTTAATTAGACACCAGGGAGCCCATTGGAGGGCCTGTACATCTTGGGCTTGGGAACAGTGAATTGACAGGGAGAGGGACAGCGTGGCCTTCTGAAAGAATCCTGGGATTGTGGCCAGGGAATCTGGGCTCTGGGCCTGGCTCTGCTGTACTGACTCAGGCAAGTGACCTCTTCACTGCCTCAGTCTTCCCATGTATTAAAATGGTTAAATCCCAAGGCTTTTGGGTCAAACCATCTTGGATTCCAGTCTGATTGCGCTGCTTACTAGCTGTGTGACCTTAGGCAACTTGCTTAACTTCTCTGAATTTCAATGTCCTCATCTATAAAAACTGGAATATCACAGTATCCATTTTACAGTCCAGTTGTGAGGATTAAATTAAACGTGTGTAGAGCTTAGCAAGTGGCTGGCACATAGTGGACACTATAAAAAATGGCAACACGATAGAAAAGCTTTAGAGTTCTTAGGAAGAAAGGCTTTAAACAAAAACTCAGTGTATTCTCAGGTCTATATATATTTTTCTTGCAACTGTACTGTAGTTCCCCAGTCACTTTGATCTGATGTCTTTACCCAAAGGCTTTTAAGTTCCTTTATTACCTTTTGCTTTTTTTTTTTTTTTTTTTTTTTTTTAAATTACCTTTTGCTTTTCTCTTTCTTTGTGCCCTGTCCTTCCTGGCCCAGCCCCTGCTTATCTGGGCTCTTAGGCTCAGCTTGCACCTCGGCTAGCTGCTGGAGCTGCAGACCTTGGGAGTATTCCTCCACTGCCTGCATCCCCATGCCATGGAGGCTTGCACGTTTAAATCTGTCAACAATTTGGCTAAAATGCTCTGCTCGGTTTCTACCCCAGCACCCTGCTGGGTGTGCCTGCACTTCCTGCCTTCGCTTAGAAGCCTGAAGATGCCCAATGAGGCCACTGTCCATGCTGGGGAGGCCCCGAGAAAGTCCTCCACAGAGAGCCCCAGCCCTCCTTGAGTGTCAGCCTCACCCTCCACCAACCTGTCTGCACTCAACTTTTCTCCCCTTGTCTGCAGGCCATTTTGCCCTTCTACTGAGCTATCTTCCTGTGTACCTACCGGTTTTCCTGTGGCCTACATTATTAAGTCAGACTTTCTGGGGTCTGACATTCCAAGCCCCCCACTGGGCGTTTCTCATCTTTGTTTATCTCTTCTCTGCAGTGTCCCCACCCCTACTTGGATATTTGCTAGCTTGTTTATTAGAGTTTCTTATCCTGCCTGTTTCTCACCCATTTTTTTTTCAGTTGTGGGTGTATCAGCCTTGTTGGGTGCTGGCAGTCTCCTGCCTGGCTCTGACCCTGGCCTGGCCCTCTGGCTTCCACCCAGCTCAAACCCTGTCTTTGTTGCTGCTTTGGCCCAGAGTTCCCTGGGGGCAAGGCTGAGCAGAGGAAAAATGATGCCTGCGGTAGGCAGGAACAGGCTAAGGGGCCCTGACTCCCGGCCTCCCATCCTTTAAGGCAATATGTTTGAAACACAGCACAGAGCCCACCCTCTGCTACCCTGTTTCCCCACACCTGCCTGAGTCCAAACTGTGGGAGGACCTAGATCCCCACCCTGTGCTCCTGAGAGCTCAGGGCAGCCCCTGGCGACTGACCCTACCTTGTGCAAAGAGGTCCGCTCCACCAGCTGGAAGGGGGCAGGGTCAATTTTGCAGTCGCTGAAGTTGACAGGTTCATCTAGTTGCTGTTCCTCCCACTCCAGAATCTGAGAGGATGAGACAGAGGATTAGGGGGAAGGTGCCAATAGCTGCTCTCACCTTCCTGAAAGCTGGCTCCCCCTTTTCCCACCCAATGGTCCCTCCCATGGGGACAGCAGCCAAGATGATGACTGAACACTCCCAGGAAGAAACAGGGTCCAGAGTCCAGTCACACCTTACCTCCTCAGGGGTCATCTCGCCTTCCAAGTCTGAGTCACTCTAGGAGAGAGGGACAGAGGTTGGCAGCTAGTGGCTGGGGGGAGGTGGGTGTACCCCCCGGCTTGGGGAGGCTTATCCCGCTAGCCCACAGCCCTCCCTGTCCAGTGCTCCTGAGCTGCAGGAAGAAAGTGAACACTTACCGCCAGGGAGATTCGGACCCGCTTCAGCTTGCGCTTGTCACATGATTCGGACTTCTCCAACTTTGTTAGAGCCAGAGAGAAGAGGAGTTGATGTTACAGGGAGGGAGGTGAGGGTTAAGTGGTGGAGCTGAGAGGAAGAGCACACAGCAGGGACAGAGCTGACATCTAGGAGGGCAGAAGAGCAGGGACAATGGAGGCAGGCTCTGTAGGGTTAATGGAGGGGTGGTCTCAGTGTCAGAGAGAGAGCTGGAAAGAAAGAGACAGAGACTCTGACTACTCACCTCTGAAGCAGCCTCGGGGGGTGGACTGCCACAGAAGAGGCTCCTGAGGGCGATGCCTGCCTGCTCCATGTTCCCTGTGTTCCCAAACACAAGGCCCCGGGGGCAATGTCATCTTTGAGGGCGAGGACCAGGAGAGGTGAGGAGGGCAAGAGGAGAGGTGTCCTGGTTCTACCCCTGGCCCATCTGGGCAGCCTCTTAGCTGGGATGTGCTCAAGCAAAAAGGTTGGGTAGGGCTCCCACTGGATCTCAGGGGCCGTACTCTGGCTCTGCCAGTGGGAGAGAGGCCCACCTGTGGGACTCTCCCCGAGGTTCATGGTGTTGCTGGGCCCCCTCTTGAGAGCAGGCTTCAGGGGCTTGTGAGTCTCCCCCCGGGCTGCAGGGAAACCTGAGTCCTCTGTGTTCACCTGCAGAGGCAGGAAGGGGCTGGTGAGGCTATGGCCCCAGATCACTTCTGTATTGCCCTCCCAGTCTACGTGACATCTGGGAAGATTGTGCGGTTGTGGGGTTCCCCTGCTCACCTGGAAGCGGACGGAGGTCTCAGGGCTAGGGGGACTCTCCTGATCGGATGGTGGAGAGGTCTGGGCATTTCGATGCTCCTGCATGTACTGCCGTCGGCGGGCTGGGCTCAGCTGCGCCCCCAGCAATGCCACCACCTGTGAGCGCTCAATGGAGCCCAGGAGGATCATGGACTCTGGGTAGAGCAGGTGGGAGGACTCAGGAGCTGGGGCTGAGGCCCTCCTACTCACCCCTGGCCTTCTTTCACACCCAGAGTGGGGTCTTGGACACAGACCACGCACCAGAGGGAACCCCTGGCTGGCAAATGCTGGCCCAACCAAGGAGACTGGTTCTGAGCTCCTGTTCCCTCCCTCTTCCTGAGCAGCAACCCTGGGAGATGCCCCCAGCACCAGGGATCCCTCCTGGTCTCACCAGGGGATTCCACTAGGGCCAACATGCGGCCCTTGGTCCTGTGCAGTGCTAATCGAAGGTCCCGGAAGGTGCAGCTGAGGGCCACATGGGGAACATCCCGCACCATGATGTCCTCCACTCGCATCCGGTACTGCCTGAGGGTAGAGAAAGGCACTTAGTTTGTGATCATGATGGGGAAGGGATCCCAGAGCACTACCATCAGGGCCATAAGAAGGCCCCAGAGCCCATGGGGACAAGGGCTAAGAGCCAAGGAGTATTTCTGCCTTCATTTGATCAGGTGGGGCTAGCTGCAGCTTCCCCAGGATGTGGACAGGGCAGCTCTGGCCAGGAGAGAGCAAGGTGGCTGGTCTCCCAGCTTCACTGTCTGAGGACTTTGCTGGAGGTGGGTCTGAGGGGGTCCTTCTGACCCTCACCCGCACCCCCCTTGTTGCCCAGCCCTCCATACTGGTGGCGGCCCCAGCCCAGTTCAGGCAAATAGGGCAGTTTCTTGATCCGGATGATGCTGTCATAAAGTGAGGGCTGTAGGCTCTGGGCAACGGCGTTGGCCAGGATGACGGCAATCATGACGGGTAGGATGTGGGCAATCTGGCCTGTGAGCTCGAACACGATCACAGCCGTGGACACTGTGTGTGTCACTGCTCCTGCCAGTGCAGCTGCCCCTGGAGGTAGCCATCTTCAGTCACCTCAGGGTGCTCAGGTCCCAGATGACCCTCCCCATCCAGGGATGGTCCTCTGGGGGCCTTTCAGGTCGCCCAGTACACTACCGGGGACCTGCCAGGCCGCCCAGTACACTACTGGGGACTGGCTTCTGCATCTGAGTGAAGCCGGGTTCCTGCCAGCAGGGGGCACCAGAACCTCAGACCCTGCGGCCAGGGGTCTTGGGAGACAGATGGGGACCTGGAGCACTTACCCACCACTGCATAGCCACCAGGCACAATCCGGTAGGTGCTGCCGTCAGTGTGAATCCCATCTGGAAACCAGGCAGCCATGCTTTCGCCCACCAGACGCCCAAATGCTGCTCCTTCAGGGAGGGGGGTGGGAAGAGAAACAGGTAGTGGAGGGGGAGGGTGGGGGCACTAGGAAGAGAGAGGGTCAGAAGGTGGGGGAGGGGCCAGTGGGTCATTCAGTACAGGGGATAGTCAGGGGGTGGGGTTGGGGCTGAGGCTGGACCAAAACCCACTCCCAGGCAGAGAGGGGACGGCGAGTGGGTGGGAAGGTTGAGGCTAGGAGAATAGGCAGCTGAAGACTCACCAATGACAAAGACTGGCATGAAGGCCCCACAGGGCACTGGGATGGTGGTGGCCAGTGCAGACATCCAGAACTGCAGGCAGGAGGTGGTTCAAACAGGTAGAGGCACTGCCAGGCCCCAGGCAGCCCCTCAGCTTCACCCTGGGGCGTCTACCTTCCTTATCAATCAGGCACAAGCTCCCAGCTATCCCAGAATCCCCCACGATCAAAGAAAGGAAGACTCCAGAACCAGATGGCTTGGGTTCAAATCTTACTCTGCGGTCTAGCTCTGGGACAATTATGTAACCTCTTTGTGCCTTGACTTCCCATCTTAAAAAAAGGGCTACTGATAGTACCTTTCTCATAGTGTTGTGAGACTTAAAAGGAATGACTATATGGAAAGTGCTTAGAACAATGTCTGGCACCTAGGAAGCCCAGGTTGGCATTAGCTCTACACATGTAAGAGCCCTACCTTCATGAGAATGAAGATGACCAGGGTGAGGAAGACGTTGGCACGTGGTGGGCTCCAGGCCTGTGAGGTTCCCGGTGGCTCTAGCTCCTCTACCAGGCCCTGGCGGACCCACGTCCGGTTGTCAAACAGGGTGACCAGAGTCTCTTTCTGTGAGAGCTGTAGGTGAACACGGTGCCTCAGGCTGGGCAATAGCCAGGATGAAGGGAAGGGGCCCAAAGGAGAGCAGAGACTGTTGGCTTTAGAGGGGATATATCCCAAGGGAAAGCACAAGTGTCTGTTCTGCCTGGAGTTACCTGTCCGGCCATGAACTGTCCAAACCCAGGGGGGAAGGTCAGAGTGGAGATGAGCAGGGTCACCAGAGCTGGGAAGAGCAGGCGCCTAGAGATACAGGTTTCACAGCATCAAACATGGGTGGTGTACCTACTACAGACTGGTAACAGTCTGGGTGCCCTCACATAACTCAGGGCTGAGGTCGCAGCAGAACCTCATGCTTATATAAAAGCACACAGTTCTGAGAGAAGGTCCCTTTTGCTGTTCGTGATATGATGGACCCAAGGGTGATGGCTGTCTGGGGTTATTATAAGCCCAAATGCCTTTCTGTTGGCCCTCAATTCCCCAAGTAGGTAGCAGAAATCCAACCCATTCCAGCCCTCTCTTGGACACTTCTGAGCTGTGACTCCTCTCTATGCTCTCAGAAGCCCAGCCAAAGGGCACACTGTGTGACAGTATGGAGAAGTTTATGCCTTTGTTTCTCTCTGGTGACTTAGAGTGAAGGTCAGTGTTGGGAAAAGCTACGGTCACTCATGAAGTTGACCAAAGGTGCCAGAGGGAACAGGTTTAGTGGGCTGCCCTTTCTCTGAAAGACGTCAGTCCCAAAAGTCCCGTCTCGGGCCTTCCCGCTCCCAATCCTCAAGTTCACAAATGAGAGAGTTAAGCTCTGGAGATTAAAAAATCTCACCCATTTCCGTGCTTCAACGGGGTGGGGGTGGGGGGCGGGGAAACTAAGGCTCAAACACTCTCCAGGGAGCAGTGCCATCTGTCCAGGCCAAGGGCCTAAGGAAGCCTTAGGGTTTTTGTTGTTGTTGTTGTTGTTTAATGTTTATTTTTTTTGAGAGAGAGTGTGACTGGAAAGGGCAGAGAGAGATGGAGACACAGAATCTGGAGCAGGCTCTAGGCTCTGAGTTGTCAGCACAGAGTCCAATGTGAGGCTCAAATTCACGAGCTGTGAGATCATGACCTGAGCTGAAATCAGACGCTTAACTGACTGAGCCACCCAGGTATCCCGGAAGCCTTAGTCTTTTCCAAAAAAAAAAAAAAAAAAATATATATATATATATATATATACATATATATATATATTTAAATATTTACTTATCTGTTTGTTTATTTTTAAGAGACAGAGCATGAGTAAGTGAGGGGCAGAGAGAGAGAGAGAGAGAGGGAGAAAGAGTGTGGAGCCTGGAGTGGGGCTTGAGCTCATCTGATGCGGGGCTCGAACTCAAGAACCATGAGATCGTGACCTGAGCTGAAGTAGGATTCTTAACCGACTGAGCCACCCAGGTGCCCCTTTAAATTTTATTTTTAAATACTCCCTACACTCAGTGTGGGGCTCAAACTTACAACCCCAAGATCAAGAGTCACATGCTCTCCCGACTGAGCTAGCCAGGTGCCCCATGGAAGTCTTAATCTTTGATGTGAAGTGCCTTGACTAAAAATTCAAAAGTGCCAATTTTGAGGTAATTCATATAAAAGCCAAAATGTTCAATCATTCCGGAAAACACCATTGGCTGATTTTCTCAATGAAGTGCTATCTTTAACTGGGCTACTCTTTGCCACAGTAGGGTGGCCCTCTCACCCTACTGTGACCATCGCACAACTCAGAGAGGAGCCCAGGTCCAACTCACTTCTTCATGAGGAAGCGGTTGATGGTTTTCTGCTTCCGCATCACCTGGACAATCTTCCGGTTCAGGTAGACAAAGAGCGCTCCCCCAAAGCCACTAGCAATACTAGAGAGGGGAGAAGTACCAGGGTGAAAGGGGGTCTTCCCTCTTCTACCTCCTCCTCTCCGATGCACCCCAGCTCCCTGAGCTCCCCTCACCCAATGACAGCAAAGGCCGGCAGCTCCTGGAGGTCAAAGGGGAAGTCAAGCCGGAATCGGGTTTTGAAGAGAGCCGTAATTGTCTCTGAAAGGAAAGCAGAGTAGCAAAGGGAGGCAGGTGTAGTGTTGAGGGCCCTCACCCGAGCCATCTCAGGGGCTCCTCTCGTCCCCCAGGTCTCCCCCACCTTCATCACGGTTCCAGACCGCCAGGACCCGGAAGATGAAGGCACTGAAGGTGGCAGCAAAGAAGCCTCGCCAGTAGTTCCGCACAGCGAAGAAGGTGGAGGTGACCTCAATGCTGAATAGGACGCCTGTGGGGGGGCAAAGCAGAGTGCCACATGAGGCCTGGGCCCTGCCTGAGGACTCAGACCCAGATGAGAGGGGCAAAGGAGGTGAGGCCAGGGGCAGGGCTGAGGGGCTGGACTGACCGCCTACCTCCAATAGGTGCTGCAAAGCAGCAGCCTACTCCCACGGCACAGGCAGCAGCCAGCATCTCTGTGTTCCGGGATTCGTTCTGGCAAGAGTGGTGGAAATGGGTGTCAGCGTGGCCTCAGCAGCCTCCCCTCCCCCTCTGCTTTCCCCCAGGGTCTCCCTTACCTCATAGATGCCCCCAAAGAGGGAGAGGAACTTGCTGAGCAGGGCAGCACACATGCTGGCGATATGCACAAAAGGGCCCTGGGGGTGTGGGAGCAAATGGTGAGTGGGGAAGGGGCACACCTTGACCTTGGCCTATCTTCTTCCCCCACTGGGTCAGACTCCTTCTATCCCCAATCTGGAGTTACCTCCTTGCCAAGGGGCATCCCGCTGCCCAGGGCACAGGTCAGCCCAATGACCTTAGCTACAAAGGTCTTCAGGGTGAGGTATTCCTTCAGCACCACTCCTCGCAAGATGGTCTTCATCTCAGGGATGCCAGACCCTGGAGAAGTTATGGTCCCAGGAGAGTCATTTGATGTGCCCGTTTCAGGAGGTCCCATCACTGCCCTCCCCTTCTTTCTTACTGTACCGACAGCCTGAGGGGCCAGGATCTGTGTGAATCCAGCTGAGAAAGTGATGAGAACAATGGGGTAGGTGACCCAGGCCAGGTACTGGAGCAAGAGGCTGGTGTTCAAGCCTCGGGACATCCACTGTTGAGCTGTGGGGAGAAGATGAGCTGCTGGACCCTAGATGCACACACCCAGTCCCCACCTAGCCACTGGGACACACTGATATGACAAGCTGTCCCAGGGAGAATGGATCCATCACAGACAGCCTGGGCAAGAGGGGTAGGGAGGCGGCCTTACAGGGCATTCATTGGGACAAAGATCACAACAGGGAAGAGGGGCAGTTCGAGAAGGGAGGCAAGAAGTTGTGGCCTATGGGAGTGGCAGTCATTATGCCTGAAGAGGAGGCAGTCAGGCTGGCTGGGGAAAGTGGTCAGTGGCCAAGTAGCCAAGATGCTTGGACAAGTGTGGCATGGAGAGAGCAGGTTGGTTCTTCCCAGCCTTCCCCTTGCCAGCCCTTGTCCTTACCCTGCAGACAGGCAGCGATGGCATAGTCCATGGCCCAGCTGACCAGAGCCATGAGGAGCCCCAGCAGGACCAGGAAGATCCAGTCTTCACCAACCCTGGACACTAGGAACTTATGGCAGCGTACGGAACAGACTGGGAGCAGGGAAGGGAAGAATGGAGCGGGGAGGGGGGGAGGCTAGCACCAAAGTATTCCCACCTCTGCCCCCCAACCCTCAACCTCCCAATGGGTAGCTCTAATGGCCTCTGTCCCCCTTAGCACAGCACAGCACAGCACAGCACAGCACAGCCAGGTCTCCTGCCCCAACCCAGGTCTCACTGCGGCATCGGGCGCAACGGCTCTGTCCATATTCCAGGAGCTCTGGGGGAGCCCGAGGGGAAGGTGGACCCCTCCAGGTCTCGGGCCCTCCCAGGCGAATCCGAGCAGCTTCCTCTTTGGCAAAGGCCCCAAGGTCCTGAGTATACCGGCCATACATCTGAGGAACAGGGAATATGGGGACATTAGCAGATGTGCGCTGAGTGGGGACCCCTGCATCAATTCCCCTTCTCCCAGACTCTATATTATATGCCCCTTCTTGAACCCACAGTTTCCACTTTGGCTTGGGGTGTGGAAACAATGCACATTACAGACCGTGGGGGCTGTCCTGGCCAGAGTAATGGGGACAGCCAAGGTACAGGGCACAGCACTGGGGGTGGCAGAATAATCGTCCTCTTCTCACAGGCCTGCCCAGGGAGCATGGAGGAGGAGGAGTGGGAGGGAAGGCCCCAGAGGAGGAAAAGATGGAAAAACCTAAGGCAGTCTGAAAGTGGGAGGAAGGAAGGTCAGAGAATAAGGGATGGTCAAGGACGGAAGGGTAACAATGAGGGCCTCATGGAGCTGGGGGCAGCTGAGTTGGGCCTAAGAGCAGGCGGGGCCTCAATCCTTATCACGTTCCCGCTTGGCCTCTAGCCTGTGACCAACTCAGCTGCACCCTTCCCATCCACCGTAATCCCCTTGTCCCCATTCTCCACCCCTAACCACCCCCCCCCCCCCAGCCTGCCAGCCCAGCTGGGAGTAGAAAGTCTCTGGGTGGGTGGAGAATGCTGGTGGCTTCAGTCCCACTCTGGAGCTGCCCTGAGTCCAGGGGTGGGTTGGGGCCGGCAGAAGCTGATGGCTGGGCTGTGACTGGGGATGTTGGGGTGCTGGGACGGGAGAGTGAGAGTCGCTGAGCCTCAGCTCGACCTGCCAAGCTGGGCGTGTGTTGGGGGGTGGGGAGGAGTAGATTCCGGCTGCCACCCGCAGAGCTTCGGGACACAAAGGGCTCCTGTTGGGGCTGGGGTTGGTGGTGGGGGGGAGGGAGGGAAAGATAGAGACAGAGCAAGAGAGTGATAGAGAATGAGGAAAGGGAGGAGAGGGAAAGGGAAAAAGAGGAGCCAGGGGAAAGGCAGAGAAGAGAAAGGAGAAGAGAGGGGAAGAAGGAAGGAGGAAAAGAGAGAAAGAAAGTAGAGTACAAAGAGGCAGACACAGTGTAGGAGGGGGAGGTGAGTGTGTATGAGGAAGACAAAGGGATTAGAAGGAGAAGGGGGAGAGGCTGGAGCAGAGAGTGTTCGGGAGACAGCATGACCCTGAGGATTCGTTTCTGAGATAGAGACCAGGCAAAGGAGGTGGAGATGTGGCTGGTGCAACAGATAGACACCATTTCAGAGGTCAGGTGCCTGGCTTCTTTGACCAAAGCCCCATTCTCAGCCAGGACAGATTGACAGACACCTCCCCCACAATGCGAAGGCTTGCCCCTCTCCCCTGGCTCCACCCCCGCCCCTGCCACCTCTCCCTGTCATCCTGTTTCAACCAGTCTCTCTCTTGTAACAGGGCACCTCCCAGCCCCAGCTACCACCCAGGACCCCTCCTCCTGGAGAGGCTCCCTCCCAGCCTCCTTCCAGAGCAAATTCCAACCCAAGCTGGTAAAAAGGAGCCACCAGCCCACTCCCTTCCCTAGAGTTTGGGTCCTCCGCCTAGTGACACAAGAAGGGGCAAAAGGCTTCTCAAACGCTAAGTTGTAATGGTAGCCATGAGTCAGCTCACAGCCCCAGGACCCCTGCTTTTAATGAGGTCAAGGGACACCCCTGAAGTGGGTGGGGGCTGGATACCCAGTCAGCATGGACAAAGGTCCCAATTCCCACACCCATTCTCGCTTGACCCATCCTCCCTAAAGCTCCTGTACCAAGAGTGGGGGGGGGGGCGGTGTACAGGAAAAGCTCCTTCCCCCCAGAGAATCCCCTGAGGGCTTCTTGCCAATGCTGGGTTGCCAGTCCCCCAGGGGTAAGGGCTGGGGGCTAGGTTTGGGTCTGAGCCATCTTTCCACACAGTCTAATTCTAGTACAGTGCCACACACTTAGTGGGGATAGAGGGAATGTCTTGGATGGTGGAGATAGGAGGGTAGAGAGAAAAAGTTCAAGGGTGTGAGTGGTGCTGGGGAGGGAAAGTGGGGTGCTGAGACTTCAGTCCAGGAGGAGCAGAGAAAACGTGTGTATGTGGGGGTGGTAAAGAGAAGGACACCTGGGACAAGCACCTGATGTCCTTGTCCTCTGCAGCCCCCTCCCCAACCCCCCCCCCCCCCTTAGCTCTCCAGCCTCTCAGGCCCTCGAGCCTCAGTTTCCCCAGCTCACTTCTGGGGCGGGCTTAGGGTAGGCCCCCGGGCCTCGCGCTTCCAAGGAGAACCCAGAGCAGCGGTACCGGAGTGCACTCCTGAGGGGTCCGCTCGGCTTCACTTACCAGGGTCTGCTCGTACTGCAGCGCCCGCGGCTCCATCCCTTCCGCCACTATCGCGGCCGACGCGGCCGCCATCTCCGCCCACAGTCCTCTGGCCTCCCGGTGCGGCTCGGGCTCGGGCCCGGACTCGGCTCCCGGCCGGCAGAGCCCGCGCCGGCACCCGTCCCGTCCCCGCCGCCCGGGCGGCCGAGTGCAGAGTGCGGCGGGCCCCGTGCAGGCGCTTCGGGCTCAACCTCCAGCTCGCGTCCCCTCCTCGGCGGGCGGGCCGAGGGCGGTGCCCTCTTGTGCTGCTCCGCCTGCCGGGCCATCCACAGGGGCCGGCCCAGCCGGGCGGGGGTCTGCGTTGAGGCCGCCTCCGAGGCTCCGGGGAGGCGGCAGGGGGCGCTTGGAACGTGCTAACCTGCGCTCCCTCTGCTCAAAGGCCGGGAACTGAGAGGAGCAATTGGGGCCAAGCGGGGGCGGGTCCGCTGGCACGTGGAAGGGCCGGGCCAGGCCCGCGGCGCCCAGTGCCGGAGCAGGAGGAGCCGGAGACGTTGGGGCTCAGCAGGGCCTGGGGCCGGGGTCTGCTGAACCGTTTAATCAGATTCTTTGCGCTCAATCTCTCAGGAGTGGCGCCCTCTCTTGCTTCTCCGGAGGGGCCAGACGGGCCTGGCAAGGCCCTTCTGCTCCGTCGAGGGTGAGAAGCAAAGCTGAAGGGACTCGTTGGGAGACGCTAGGCCCAGACAGCGGGAGTGAGGGGATGATGCTCGGAACTGAGACTCTCGATCTCTTTCATCCTCTTTCCTCCTCCTTCCCTTACCTGCTGGTCCTCTTGGGAGTCGCACCTGGAGTAACCCGGCCTGTGGGGTGCACCAGGGTGGAGGTGGGGAGGGAAGGTGAAGGGCTGAGGCCGGAGGGAAGAGATGTCTAGGTGCCGGGAGGCCGCTCCTGGGAGGAGGGTGTGGGCGTACAGAGGTCGCTTTTCCTTGGCAGGTCCCAAGGAGAAACTCGAGTAGCTACTGACGTCTCACCACCATGGGGAACAGCCTGCTGGGGATCTGCATTCTCTACCAGGGTCTAAAGAAGGATAGAGCAGAGGGTGGGGTGAGCACAGAGTGGATGGGCAGTGTAAGAGATTGTGTCAGAGGAGAGGCTCGGGCCCAGGAAACAGGCAGTGTGCGGGAGAAGGCAGGATCAGGATGAGGGGGCATGTGGGAGGCACAGGCGGTGCCCAGGAGGGAGGACGGTGCCCAGGAAGGGGGCAGTGTGAGAGGAAGGGGCAGTATAAGGGAGGAGCTGGTATTCGTGGGAGAGGATAGTGCCAGGATGAAGGGGCATGTAGATCAGCGTCTGGAGGGAGAAATCAGTGGTGGGGCAACAGGTAGTACCAAGCGGAAGGGGCAGTGCTCCGGAGGAGAGCAGTGTGATGAGGTTAATGCCAGGCTGAAGAGATCCTGTGGAAGAGAGTACGTCCAGGGGAAGAGGGCAGTGGTAGGGAGGGTGCGGTACCAGTGGAGGGGACAAGTGCAGGCTTTCCTTTTCCCCATAGTGACATCATGGCAAATTCCCAAACTGTACAAACCCGGCTCAGGTGACATCCAGCAGGGCCAAGTCAGCCGGGGCCGGGCTGGGGGACCTCGGTGCCAGCTGGAGGGACTGGGCCCCGCGCTCTGCAGGGTCAGCGCGCTGGGGGCGGGGTTCTGTTCCTCCTGCCCTCCGCGAGGACTGTGCCCTCGGCGGGCACGCGGACCAGCAGGATAGGGCTAGGGCCGGGGTTCTCTGGGCCAAGGATCAAGGTCCCTGGCTGGGGTAGGCTCGCAAGCATTCTGGTCTTCCCAACCCGGACTCTCAAGAGGGCGCAGTAGAGCCTCATCAGGGAGCGAGCAACCGCGCCACCACGGCCGGAGGTGGGACTAGTCGTGTCCCCGCCCTGGGGCGGAGTTATATGGCTCTGAGGCCCGCCCTAAATCCTGAGGACTCTCGGAAGCAATCGTTCGGGGCGGAAGTTAGGAAGCCCCGAGAGCCAGGCAGCGGAAGTGGTGGCGTTACTCCTTGTCGGCGCGCATGCGTTATTCTAGTCACTTGCTGCCACTCTGTAGGCGCTTTTACCATCCCTCCACGCGAGGGGAAGCGCGTACCCTTAGTCGTGGTAGCGGTCTCAGCCACTCTGCTACTCTCGTGGCTGTTTCACCATGGCGGGCATCCTGTTTGAGGATATTTTTGATGTGAAAGACATTGACCCGGAGGGCAAGAAGTTTGACCGAGGTAAGTGAGGTGTACGTAGGGGCGGTTTAGGGGAAGGGGCTAACCTCCTCGGGGACACGCCCCTGGGCCCCTTGTCCACCCCACCCACGTGGCCTGCCCCTACCGGCAGTTCCTGATAGAGGACTCTCCCTCGGGAAACATTTTATAGATGGACAACGGAGACTCGGAACTCTGCCTGGCTTCACATATGCTGTGCCCTGTGCCTGGCTGGCTTTTTCTCATGGTGCTGGTAAACTCCTGGGCACCTTTCTAATCGCTCCTCACTCTGAGCTAGGCGCTGTATCGAGCACCTTACACACATTTTGTCCTACCTATTCCTTTCAAGAGCCTCCATGAGGTAGGTGGTGACTTACCCAGTTTGCTCCTAGAAGTTAAGTAGCCTACCCAAGGCGACATTGTGAGTAATCAGACTTCAGAGCTTGTATTCTTGTAGTGTCCTAAGAATTTTTAGTTCTTTGTGACGTCCTCCCTTAGTCAGAATTGACTGATTGCTATACACGTCTTTATTCTGTTACTGATCAACAATTATTGAAGTGTTCCTCCTTGATGTCTCTTCCTTTGCTTGGAGACTGAGATGTTCTTCGAGACAAACACCAGTTCTTACAAGTCCTGATAATCCACTCAGCACAGCAGCCAGCACCAAAAGACAAACCTTTGGATGAACGAATAACTTGCCCAAAGTCAGGTTGTTTCTTAATCACCCAGGCAGGCCTAGAACCTGGATATTATTTATTGCCAGAGGACCTTTGTTTTTTTCTGGGATTCTGTCCACTTGCCATAGTTTTCTTCCCTTTCTTTCTGACATGTCTGGTTCTGCATTTCTCTGAGAGCAGATGAGAGGCTAGTGGATGCAGACTGGGTTAGACTGAGTGTTCAATTACATATAATCCCCCAAAGCGGGGTCTGTAGCGTTTGCTGGAGCCTGGCAATTACCCATGCCACTCTTTTCTCTGCTTCCCTCCAGTGTCTCGACTACATTGTGAGAGTGAATCTTTCAAGATGGACCTAATCTTAGATGTAAACATCCAGATTTACCCTGTAGACTTGGGTAAGTATTGAACACAGACAATAGCAGGAGGCTTTTTGACATTTTAGCCGTTCTTCACTCCCAGGTATTGCCATTATTTTCAGGTGACAAGTTCCGGTTGGTCATAGCCAGTACCTTATATGAAGATGGTACCCTGGATGATGGTGAATACAACCCCACAGATGATAGGCCTTCCAGGTGAGGAAGTGAAGAAGGGAGCACTTGAAATATGCCTGAAGATTAAGTAGATAAGTAGTATGAAAAGACCCTTATTTAATTTGTGGAATAAATGATTATCAGCAGAATCTGAGTAACCTTGAGGAAATTGCTACACTTAAGAATTTGAACAGCCAGGTGTTTATCCAAGCAGTAATTATGTGCTTGTGGGTTGTAGTTTATTGATGGCTAAGGAAATGACCACTGAGTGACCTAAGCTGTGTGAACCTTGCATCTTGGGAGAGAGTTTGGTGTGATGGAAAGGCTTTGGAATTCCACGGAGTTCAAATCTCAGCCCTACCACTTATTTGTTGAACAACCTAACCTCTTCACCAGTAAAGTATGCATGGTCCTGCTTTGCTCATTGGGTTGCTGTGAGGACTAAATGGCATTGTATTGAATGGCATTGTATTGAAGACGTCCGTTTTCATAATGTTGACGCTTAGTTATCAGTTACCATTATTAAAGGGCCTCTCGTTATTGTTAACTACTTTTTTTTTTTTTTAATTTTTTTTTTTTCAACGTTTATTTATTTTTGGGACAGAGAGAGACAGAGCATGAACGGGGGAGGGGCAGAGAGAGAGGGAGACACAGAATCGGAAACAGGCTCCAGGCTCTGAGCCATCAGCCCAGAGCCTGACGCGGGGCTCGAACTCACGGACCGGGAGATCGTGACCTGGCTGAAGTCGGACGCTTAACCGACTGCGCCACCCAGGCGCCCCAAGTTAACTACTTTTTTAAGAATAACCTTGCTATTGTTGTTTCACAGGGCTGACCAATTTGAGTATGTAATGTATGGGAAAGTATACAGGATTGAGGGAGACGAAACTTCTACTGAGGCAGCAACGCGTCTGTAAGTTCCATGGTCTTGTGAGACCCTTGTCCCCCTGCCTTGGGCCATGCTCTGAAAATCTGGGCCGTGCTCATGTTTCCTGTGTCTCTCCCCAGGCACCTCAGACCTAGGCAGGACCCAGAAGGGGACTGTTCTGGGAACAGTTTCTAGTCTGAAATGTAGGCTGCTCACTTGGCCCTTTGTCAGGACCTCAGGGCCCAGGGGTCCAAGTGAGAAGCCGATGATCTTGCTATGTGAGGTGCAAAGGCAGGTTGCTTCCCCAGGAACTAAATGCAGCATTAAGTGATTAAACTGCTAGACTTTTTTGGTTTTGTTTATTTGTGTGTGTGTTTTGCTACTCTGCAATCCAATCCCTAGTTCTTTGGTTTCCCTGCCCAACTATTTTAGTTGTTCTTTAAAATCTTATTAAAACAATATGTGCTCTTGGTAAGAAATTTGAAAAGCAGAGAAGTAATGTGAGGAAGCAAAAAAAAAAAAAAAAAAATCACCTATAATTCCATACCCAAAGGGAATCTTTTACATAAACATTTTTGAGTATTCTAGGTTTTTTCCTGTGTACTTTTTTTTCTTTGAGATCATGTTGTTTGTTCTCTTTTTTTTTAAGTATTTATTTAGTTTTGAGAGAGAGAGTGCAAGCAGGGAAGGGGGAGAGAGAGAGAGAGAGAGAGAGAGAAACAGAATCCCAAGCAGGCTCTGTGCCATCAGTGCAGAGCCCAAGGTGCATCTCCACCTCATGAACCGTGAGATCATGACCTGAGCCGAGACCAAGAGTTGGACGCTTCACCGACTGAGCCATTCAGGCGCCCCTTCTTCTGCTCTTTTTGCTTCAAGTTATGTAAAATGGGTTTCCCTATGTCAGTTTAAGGCTTTTCCTAAACATTTTAATAGCAGCATAACATTCCAGTAAATGGATCTATCTTAGTTCATTTGATCATTTCCATTACTCTGGGCATGTAGCATTTTCCACCTTTGTTTGATATCCGGAATACTGCCATGCACATATCTGTGCATTCGTCTTTGTCTGAATTTTGGTTCCTAATGACCAGACGCTAGAAGGGTGCCTCTCTTTCTTAAGCTGGGATGGGGAGCCACTGGGTAGCCGCTCCAGAGCTTAGACTCATGGGACTGGGGCCTTCCATTTCAGCTCTGCCTACGTGTCGTATGGGGGCCTGCTCATGAGGCTGCAGGGTGATGCCAACAACCTGCACGGATTTGAAGTGGACTCCAGAGTTTATCTGCTGATGAAGAAACTGGCCTTCTGAAGCACCCAGGAAGCCAACCTTGCTGCTTAGTCACTTAGGGCTTGGACATTCATTCATTCAAGCCTGAGGAGCGGTAACTGTTGACCACCTGTTCAGGAGGGGCTGTCTGTCTGCCCACTGTGGGTGCATCTTTAGGTGGTCTGGACTCCATGGGAAACTTGCCTGTGAAAGACCCAATGGGAGAGCTTAAAATGGATGAGAAGTTGTTTTGTGTGTATATGATTTTTAAATTAAACTTTACTTTTTCAGATCTGTTTCTGCCCCGCCCTTTAAAAAAAAAGTCTTTTGCATTTACCCTAAAATCATTTTTTCTACTTTGCCTGTGGTATATTATATTTCTGGCCCACAGCCAGATGATCACATGTCAATGTAGGATCTATCCCAGCCTTTTGGTATCTGGGTTTAGGGTTATCTCAGCCTTCTGGGTAACTACCCCAACGTTTATCCTCCAAAGTGATTTTCTGTCTGGGAGAGTGTTGTGCTTTTGGCTCCTGAGGGCACCCCAGCACCGGAAGATACCACCCATTTGGCATAGAATTTTGAATGGGCAAGGAGCCCTGCTTGTGTCCTTCCAACACTTTATGTCTCTTAGGAAGTCAGATCACGTTGATTTAAATGAGTCACTTGCATATCCTGGAAATGCCCATCATTTTTGTGGAAGCTTTGGGTGGAAGCTTTTAGATACAGGCATGGGACATGACTATGAAGAGAATAGGAAGAACAGATTTGGTGGTTATAGGAACAGGTGGAGGTGCTAGGTGTCTGCTCTACATTGCATTACTGCAATGCAGGGGGGGAGGGTGAGTGGTGGGGGTTCTCACCAGTACCACTGAACAGGCAGCTGCTGCACAGACCAGTGAAGTGGACAAGGCAGCAATACCAATGAGGCTGGCAGTCCAGTTCTAGGACAATGGAGCAGCCTGACTGCAGTCCCTAACTTAAACTGGGCAAAAACAAAATGGAGGAAATGGTGATGCTTGTAGAAGCACTCCAGAATATGAGCTGGCTTTTAGGCCTGGCATTTGAGGTCTCTGAGAAAGTCTCTGGACTCTTATTTCCCCTAGGAGATTCAGGGTAACAATCCAGAAAGATTGTGAGTGTGTATTAAGCAGTTTTCTCTTTTGATCTCCTGGTTTTGCCATGGGAGCTGGTCCCCCTGCTGGGATGCCTGGGGTATTTCCTTCCCTATCATTTTCAGGTCTTTACATGAGGTGTTAGAAATAGTATTTAGGGAAATGGGTTGAAAATGGATGGTCTCGGCAGGGGGGAGGAAAAGGTGTTTTGCTTTACTGTGGGGGGGGGGATGGACAGAAGGTGCAATGGGGGTTGGAATGAATTTTCATGGACTCGTAGAACTTTTTTACGTGGAGTCAGATTTGGGGTTTTGGAGAAGGCTGGATTTAGGTTAGAGTGGGGAAACTTAATTACCAGTAATAGTTTGTGGGGTAGCATAGCAGACTATCCTGGCTATCCTGGGTAGCAGAAGAGAGAACTGGCATGCAGTTGAATAGAGAGAAGAGTGTTCTGGTTGCCACAGTTTTTTGCTTTTTGTGTAAAGGGAAGAAGGGATGGAATAAGTCTGACGATGTTTTGGGAAGGGTAGATTCTCAATATGGACAGATTAGTTCACATTGGAGAAGCCCAGGAGTTATTTGCATTTGCCCTGAAGTAAGTCCAATGCTGATAGTGGATGCCTGGAACTTACTGGCTATATACTTCTTGCAGTTTTGCCAACCTTGTCTCTCGTCTGACTGTGCTGAGAACCCTTATTAAGCCTTTGTCTTTGGTCCCTTCGGCATATCTTGTTCTGGGTGCTGACTCTTTCATGTGCCAGAAGGTTCTTCATTTTGATCATTACATTTAATCCAGGTTAGTATTTCAGTAAATTACAATTTCTACTTAACCATTCCCTTGACTGCATGCTGGAATTTGTAGTGTGGATGAACTGTTCTCTCCCATGCAAAAACTGACACCATCTGAGATGCGTACACTTTTGAGCTTTGTGCATTTGTTGATTCCTTCTCCATGGCAACTGTTCTATCCATGATGGGAGAGAAGGACACCTGGAGATGTCTAAGTTCGTCACCCCCTCCAAGAGCTTTTGGTTTCCTACTCAGAACTTTTTAATTGTTGGTCTGTTTACTCCCCCAAGACTTGGAAATCTTTCCTGATATATAGAATCACTGAATGATCTGTTGGACAGTACACCACACTGGGGACCATATGGGCTCTGGTCAGCCTAGGGTTTCTTCTTGCTCACAGGGCTATGTAAGCATTGAGAAAATGCCTGGCTTCTCTGAGCCTCAGTTTCATTGTCTGCAAAGTAGAGATGATAATCCCAAGGTGATAGAGTTGTGTGAGCGGTATAAAAGGTAACATACGTAAGGTTCCCAGCATGCTGGCTTTCCTTTCTTCTATTTTGGAATACCTCTAGTGATCCTGGGGTATCTGGCAGTGTTTGGAACTCTGGATTCCTGGCTGTTTTACCTACATGGTCGTCTTTCCTTTGGGGAGTTGCGGGGAGGGAAGAGGAAAAAGCTGCTATTAGTTTTCCTACAGGAGCCTCTGGAGGTAGTGTTGACCTGTGCAATGGAGTTTTTGTTTTGGGCAATAATAAACCTCTTCAGAGGCACCACAGCGGCATTTATTTGCAAGGCCCCATAAGCCTGGCTTCTCTAGAGAATCCTTAGCAGAGTTCATGGTGGTCACATAGGGCAGCTTCTTAGATACTGTGTGCTTCTGGGATTGGGAAATGAGCCTTCAACTTGTACTTGTCCCTCCTGCTGTGTGAGCCCTAGGAGACTGACTCTTGCCACTTCCTGCACTTCCCCCTGACCTCCACAGGAGGGAGGCAGGAACCCGTGCCTGGCAAAGCTTCCTGCTGAGCTGCTGAAGCTCTCGCTGTTTGCTCAGCTGTCACATCCAGGTTTTGTCTTGACTGAACTGTCTGCACAGCCTTACCTGGGGTGTGAGGCTCTCCAAGGCTTCCTGTTAACTTTTTGGGAGGGGAGGGAAGGGGGAGATCTATTGCCCCCTGAGAAGAACATCTCTTTCCTTTGCTTTTCTGTTAGCTTTTGGGTGTTTTTATTTATTCTTTATTTATATAGGCTCAGTTTTGTTGATTATGTAGAGATGGCCTTTCTGAGAGACAACTTCTCATTCATTTTTCAAGAGTAAGGATCTCCTAAGAAAAGGAGATCAGAGCCCTATTGAGAATGATAGTAAAGGGGAGAAAGACACTAACCTTAGTTCTGAGGAAAAAAAATCAAAGCTCTTTTTTCTCTGTTTTCTGACATAAGGTTAGTCTCTACCTCTGTTCAGAAGCCAGGCCAGACCAGCCCTTTGCATAATTACCGTATGAAAAAGAGCACGTAGAAAATTAGTAAGCTGTAAATTTGTGCAGAAAATAGACCAAAGATAACTAGACGCTCTAGTGAATATTATTGATAGCTTAAAAAAATAGCTTCTGAAGTTTTACATTATACAGTGAAAAATGATCCCCTTTTCTGTCCTGTGTATCCCGCTTTAGCAGGGCTTTGGGTTTCAGGTGAAAGCAGGAAATCTGGTATAACTTGATTCCCAGGGCCTCCCCTCCAGGTAAGGGCACTTTACATGGGAGACAGTGCTGAAGCTGGCAGGGCCCTAGTACCTTACTCCTCCTGAGACAGATTCTGGAAGTGAGGGTGGGGTGCAATTAGAAGAGGACTGGCAGAGTTGGGTGTGACAGAGGGGTCAGGAAGTGGAGGCTGGAGCTGGATCGGGGGAGTGGGTGAGGTGGGTGAAGGAGAGAAGAGTGTATATTGCCCAGTAGGAGGATGGATTGGGGATGGAGAATATCCAGGCCAGAGGTCGGGTGGCAGGGAGCTCGTGTCTGAAGTTCCTGGAAGGATGTCTGGGGCTCCTAGAGCCCTGGGTGAGGGTCCAGGAAAGAGTCCATGAGTTCCAGTCAAGGGTCCGTGTGTCCTGTTCACGTGTCCAGGGATTTGGTCTAGGTACCTGGAGGTTTGGTTCAGCCGACCAGGAATCTTGGCTCTGAATCCCTGCAGCCTCTTCAGAAGTCCAAAGCCAGTAGTTCTGGCTGAGACACGGGAGTCTGTCTCCAAAAATCCTGAAGTCCTGTTTGGGAGCTTGTGTAGTGTGAGGACTACAGAGGTATTGCTTGGGCCAGCTGTAGTGGGCAGGGCCTGCTTGGCACAGAGAGTGGGCCCTACTACAATCAGCAGGAAGCGCACCTTTCCTCGGAGCAGTTGTTGGAAGCTCAGGAATATGGCATTGGGATCCTTGTGAGCTGTGGTCCTGCCCTGTGGAGGAAGCTGTGGGCAGAGGATGGGCCTGAGGCCAGAGATCTGGGCCAGATATCATGTCTCTCTCGTCTATAGGGAAAGATAAGGTGCCAGCACCCGGACTTTATGGCTCAGGGAAAGCACTCCTTAGTAGGTCAGCTCTGCTACCCTCAAGATTCCCAGAATTCTCCTTTCTTCCCTCAGGTCTTCCAAGGGGGCTAAGTCAGCAAAGGACAGTCTCTGTAGTCCCCTTGACTCAGGATTTACTTACCTGGGTTCCTAGGAAGCCCTGCAGGGCCCCAAGGAGGAGGCGGACCTGTCCAGAAAGCTGTCCCAGGAGGGATGAGAGGCAGGTGGGTCCCAGTTGTCCCCGTGCTGCCATTACTCCCTCCAGCAGAAGGGTCGCGGCTCCCAGAACGTCCTGTGCCTTGGTCTGCTCCTGCAAAAGAGATGGAAGGGAGAAGGGCCCGCTTCAAAGGGCATGCTAGTAGTGGGTGGGGAGCCCGAGGAGTAGCCAGAGGGATGAATCATAGGAGCTGAGAATTGGACAGGACCAAAGTCCCACCCAGCACAGGAATTCCTTCAGAGTCTCCCGACAATTGGTCATCGGCCTCTACTTGAGTAACTCCGGTGTCCAGTAACCCAGCCTGGTCTCACACTTAATTTCAGTCAGAAAAGTTCTTTTTTCCCCTTATATGCTGAAATCTGAGCTGTTACAGCTTTTACCTCTGGGTTCTAGTGTTGCCAGTTCACTCTTTCTGCTACAAAATCTTAGGGTCATATGGTTTTTTAAAACTTAATGTAGAGATAAGGCCATCATAGAGATCATAAAAATGAAGGAAGGGGGCTTACTGATAAATGGCAGACACAGAACTGCAAGGGATCCCTAGGGACCACCCTTCATCCCTGGCCCAGTCCCCTTGGAAGACCTGAGGGAAGAGAGGGCATTCTGGGGATCTTGAGGATAGAAGAGCTTGATCTTAAAAGGCGTGCTCCCTCCCAGGTTTCCTGAGCCTCAGACTAAAGCACTTCCAGCCATACCACAAGACTACCACTTTCCTCCAAACTACTCAGCAACCCCCCTCACCGCCCTTTTTTAAGCCATTCCTCACATAACCTGTTTTCTAGCTTCTCACTGTTCAGGTTGCTTCTTCCTTCTGGACACATGCTCGTTTAATATGGTCCCTCTGAATAAATTAGCATTTATCTTGAGGAGGATGTCTGGTACTCGGTCCAGTACCGTTAAGTGCAATCCATTTACTGTTTTTTAGGAGTATTTCCACAATGCGGATGCTAGACATCTAAAACCAGCTAGAATCACTAGCTTTTAAAATAGCTGCTGTTTGAGGTCAACTCCGTCTTCCCAGATCTTTTTCATAGTAAGTTCTAGGGCTAGAAGTTTATATAAAGGAAGTGGGGGCATCGTGGCCTGGAAGCTGGAATAGGACTTTATTTAATTACTTTGAGTAAATGTACAGGTTTATATATATCTCTGTTAAATTTTACCTTGTTTTTGACCTAGCCTTTCAGCAAGTTGAATCTTGATTCTGCCTTTTGTTATTTTAGCGGTGCTTCCCAGTTTTGTGTCATCTGAGGATGACAGATCAGTCTTCCTTCTTCATGCTAACTTAAGAAGGTTGCACGGGACTAGGTCAAAGGCATGGCCATAAGCGACTTTTATCCAGCTTTCCTTGGTGTTCAGCTTTGAATCTATTTTAACATACTAGGACTGTAAGTCACCTTGTCCAGAGGACAACATCATAGTGGAATGTAGATTAGGTTAGGGTGGGCAAGCTGAAAGTGAGATATTCTTAGGGGGCTCAAGAATTTTAAAGAATCCATGGGAAGCAGTACAAAACTGATGAAGACAGGATTTAGGAAAACTAAAGGAAGGAATGACTTTCTTACCTTCTGGGTTTTCCATTCTCCCAGGCTAAAGTCCACAGCAGGCAGCAGGACAGGTGTGGACAAAGGGTTAACGTCTGGGCACTGGCTCTATTGAAAAAGATGGGTGGTGGAGAGGTGGAGAAGGGAGCTCAAATAAAAGGGAGCTCAAATATGGTGACCCCGTGATCAAGATAGACTTCCATGAGCAATATATATCCAGGCTAGAGCTTTTAAAATGGGCTAGATTGCAAATCGTAATCCTTGTCAAGGAGTGGTGATTGGGAGGCGGTGATCTCACCAAAGACAATATGGGGACAACAGTGCTTGGATCATGGAGTGAGAGGAAGTGGTGGGAGTAAGGGCGTCTAACCAGTTAATGGGTAGAGGGGTGAGTGCTGGGAGATTCTCACCAATTTGCTGTGAAGGACATGGGAATCACGAAGCAGTTTATTTAGGAGACGGGGGTCACAGGCTGGAGGAGCTGGAAGGCATAGATTCAGTCTTGCAGTTAGGAGAAGCATGACCACGAGGAGCAGTTCTTAGATGAGAAGTGAGGTTGAAAAAGAAGAAATCACTGTCAGGTGGTGGTCCAGGAATTCCCATTTAAGACCCAGACTTGAAATCCAGGGAATTTGCCTTTCAGAAGCCTTATTCCCAGGAGATTGGGTTCCCTCAGCCCTCCACCCCTGCAGCACATCTCCTTTGTCTTTCCTCTCTAACCATGTTCTGATTTGGCCCTAGGTCCCTCCAGTGTGTTCTTACCAGTCAGCTCCATTCTGGCCACGCTGTCTGGTTGGAGTGGCTCCCTGGATGGGGCCTCTCCCCTGAATCCTTCCTGGGGCCATGGAGGCGGCTTGGGCTCTTGCACTTCTTGTACTGTGGGGCACAGGTGGGCTGAGGAAGAGGGTCTGGAATCTATCCTGCAAGTGACAGGAATAATGAACATTTATTCAGGTGTCAAGGAAAAGACTGCCTGGCTGGGGGGAACAGCTGCTGGAAGGGTGTGAGCCGCCGACCAGCCTAGAACTGCTAGAGCTCTGACTGCTCCCAGGTTTCCGTGTGAGTGCAGCATATTGCGTCTCCTTTTTGTCAGGCTCCTTGGTGAATCTGCTGTGGGGCACCAGCCCCCTGCTGAGAGCAGGACAGAATCTGTATACACACACACACACACACACACACACACACACACACACACACACATCTTAACTGGCCTCAAATTCTGAGCAACCTTGGTTGTTTGGTTGGAGACAATCTAGGACAGGGAAAGGGAACAGAAGTATTGTGGCATAAGCCCTGGAGAAGAGGTTGGAAAGCTGGATACAGGGTCAAGGTGAGGAGCTAGTAAACATGTGCGATGTGTTGAGGGGTGGCTTGGGGAGTGGGGCTGAGGAGGTGAGTTGGGCAAAAACAAAACTGGACTACTAGGGGTTGGTGATTACAAGATTATGAGAAGGTGGTATGGGAGCAATGAACCTATCATTCTCTTTCCATTTACCCTCACCCAAAAGCCTCTTGGAGTTTTTCTTTACACTCCCAGTTCTGAAATACTGGGTTATCCAAGGTGAAGAGATGGGCTAACAGTCTTGGGACTTGCCACCTGAGGCAAGATGCCCAGGAATGGGCACCTGCTGAGTGAGGTACCCACCTTACACGGCTTACCTCGCCTCGGACACCCACCGTATCCATCTCATAGCCCATATCTTCCTCCCTGCCCCCTTTGCAGAACCCTTCCAGTTCCTTTGCAGGACCCCCCACATGGCCTCCTCCTTCTTTGACGAGTAGTGCAAAGAGGCCTGCACCTGATTCAATATTGGGATTTCCTGTAGGTCTGTCAACATGCATGAGCCCTCCTCCCATTACCCTCTCCTTCGTCCCAGCTTCTCCGGTCCCACAATTCAGAACCTTAAGCTAACTAGGAATGGCTGGGTAAGAATGGGAATTGGATCTGTGTCCAGCTTGATGCTATGTGTCCTAAGCCCTAAATGTGCCACCTTTCTTATTTTCTCCCTGAGCACATGTCCCCTTTCCTTAGGACCCGCCAGGACTGCTATATTCCTCCAAGTCTGAGATCAGTCCCTCAGAACCCAGCACCCCACCCCCTACCCCTGCTCTGTCCTGCTCCTCCCATTCTGGGAAGGCTACACTCTTCTCGACAAAGGTCAGTGCCTGTAGGTTCCAGTTTGCCTGCCCCTCCCCCAGCTGAAAGCCCAATTCCTCTTTCCTGTCCTTCCTACCCTCACTTAACTCCAAAACCTGCTTGCCACTCACCGGGTGGAGAAGGGCTCCAGGACCCAGGTGCACAGCAGGCAGCCCTCTGGGGTGCAGATGGGTAGGAAGACATGTAGTGTTGGGGCACAGCCCCTCCACAGCAGTAGGGTCACACGCCTGCCCAGGCCACTTCTGCCCAATCAGAGAGCAGGGAGCTACCAGACACTGGCGAAGGCCCCCGGAAGTGACGCCTTCTCCTCCCACCCGCACTGAACATGGAGCCCCTGCCTGGACCATGGTCCACCAGCGGAGCCCAGCTCTTCCACCCACGCACACCACACAGAGGATTTGAACAGAGGGATCCATCTTTTTCTAGGAGATGGGAAACCTGGGGCCTGGCTGGGGAAGGAGATGAGAGGGGAACAGGGTTTTTTTCTAGGAGGAATCGGGCAGGACATTTTTGTTCCTGGGGAAGAGTCACAAAGGTCTGGTTCTGGTTTTAGATATATTGGTGGGTTTTTCAGTTCTTGACTGGCTAAATTTCTTTTCACCTGCTGTTGAAATCCATTAGGGCTCTTGCTTTTCTGCTTTTCTTTCCTATAACCCTCTCGGAGTCATGTCTTATTTCCCCTTTCCCAGTGGGAATGTGGGTATTGCCCATTTTAGAGAATGACGCTGTCATTGGTCAGTGTTGTGGGGAAAGCGTTTGGACAATTTGAGAGGACTGCACGGTGAGGGCTGTTTGTGGTGGTGGTGGTAGGGAGGGGGTGGGGGTGAGGCTGAGCTCAGGGCCCAGCAGCTCAGACAGCTAAGGCCACTTAACTCTGTGCCCAAGCTCTCCTGCACTTGCCCTGTCTTTCTCCCTCTTCCATCTCCTACCACTCCGTATGTGACAAGAAGAATAACCAGGCCCATGTGTCCCTGTCTCAGGGAAGACAGCTGCTGAACCTCCCCCGCAAATACCTCCTGCTGGCCCCCCTCTTCCTTTGGCCCTGGCTCTAGTTCCTTTGCTTTCCCCTCAATCCCAGTCTCCTCACAGTCTCTGTCCTCAGGGGCCTCCTGGCCTGACCTTGTTCCCATCACCCCCACCTCAGTTCTTCCCCTTCTGCTCCTCCTCCCAAGGATGGGGCTGTCAGCTAAGGAGGATGGCCTAGATCCCGGAATTCTCCAGTTCAGCCAGATGAGATGCCTCCCAAGATTAGGAAGGAGAGTGCTGGGATGGTTGGGAGGATGGTGGGTGAATGGGTGTGGGAGGGGACAGGGAGGCAGTCAAGACCAGGAAACCAAGACAAAGGAGGTTGGGGGTGGGGTGGAGAGGCAGAGGGTCCCCTGCGTGAAGGAAGAAGGTGAGAAAGGATGTGAGGCTGGGGATGAGGATGGTTAGATGGGCCTCCGGACAGGTTACCGTAGGGAGGGAAACACTGTCACCAGACAGAAATGGGACTCTGAAATGGGACTTCCTGGGGGACCAGTAGAATGAGGACAGACCTCAGAGAAGAGATAGGGACACAAGCTAGACAGAGAGTGTGGGTAGTGTGGGGTTTGAGAGGTGCTGTGGGCCCACAGTAGGGGAGATCAGTTGACCGGCCTTTGGTGCACGTTGTCATCCTTAAAAGACAAGTCTTCATCCTTCCGGCAGTTACCGAGTACTAGCCCAGTGGCCGGCCCAGGCCTCAGGCCCAGCCTCTGCCCCTCCCTGGCCTGGGGCTCCCGTCCCGGGCTGGACACGCACCTCCCGGTGCAGCCGCCCTGTGGCCTCCGGCAGCGGGGGGCTCCAGACCCGCCTCTCCTCCCCTCTTCGCGCCCCCTGGTCTCTCCCCTCCCCCTACCCCCTCCGCTCCCCCTTCCCCTGCAGCCCCTCCCTCCTCCCCTGCCCCGTCCCAGCCCCTCCCTCCCCTCCCCCACTCGCGATCCGGGCCGCTGCTGCTGGGCCGGACCCCCCGGGCTCAGCCCGGCCCCTCGCCGAGCCGCCGCCGCCGCCCCGTTTGCTGAGGAGGAGGCCCCCGGCCGGGGCGCCGGGCGCGGGGCATAAAACGGGCCAGAGCCGGCGCCCAGGGCACTAGAGGCGCGTACGGCCCGGGTCAGCGCCCGCCCGCCCGCGCTCCTCCCGGCCGCTCCTCCCGCCCCGCCCGGCCCGGCCCGGCGCCG